TGGTATACCTTTTCTAGGTACGTTAGCCTGTGACCACGGAAATTGGCCGAGTCAAGTGATGGATTAGTACGGAGAGATTGAGACAGAAGGAGGTACTGGATAGAGAGACCGGGATGGTTTTTAATGTGAAGACAACAACAACAACAACAACAGTCTACAATGCTCACCCGTTGGCAGAGGATGCGTGCACGACCGATGTACTTACATCGACAGCAACCACCAGCGTATCACTTCTTTTTTTTTGTCTTCTTCATGCACGCTTGTCTCCAGAGGGCTATCATCACGGCGGCGAACAAGGCCGCAACAGGTTGGCCCTAACTAAAGCGAAACATTTGTCGGAAATGTATCTACCCAAAAGGGAGAAAATGTGGAGTAATGCTTGTTGTTGTTGTTGTTGTTGTTGTCTTCACATTAAAAACCATCCCGGTCTCTCTATCCAGTACCTCCTTCTGTCTCAATCTCTCCGTACTAATCCATCACTTGACTCGGCCAATTTCCGTGGTCACAGGCTAACGTACCTAGAAAAGGTATACCAAAATAAAATGGACCCCAAGGGTCAGCAGAGCGATAAAATACAAGAAAACAAAATATAATCAGAAACAAATAAAATAAAATAAAATAAAATAAATAATTAGACTAGTGGAACGGCCGCACCACCAGCCTGGGGGGGTAGCCTCCCACTACATGGAGGCAGCATGCATAGATTGTTGTTGTTGTTGTCTTCACATTAAACCGTATGTCAGTTGATTACCCACCGACGAATAAACATGCATTTGTTCCAGCCTATATATGTACCTTTTTTTTCCACCGTTTTTTTTTTCTTCACCTTTTTGTGAGACACCTTTTTTTTGTCCACTTGTTTTGTGGGACGCACCCAGCCCAGCCGAAGTATATATTTGTCGCCCCCCACCAACGGCGCAACTTGGGCGTAATGCGATTTGTTACACTTGCTCGGGAGGCAAGGAGGAGTGGCACTGGAGAACGAGAGGCAAGCTGCCAAATGTCGCGGTTGAGCTCGAAAATGAAGGAAGATATCGGGGCGAGAAAGAGCGAGCCCCAGCCGTTGAGGTTCGAACAGGTACGTAAAAACCGCCGTGTTTTATCGCAGACCATGTCTTTAGGTTGAACGAATTTTTGCAGCGAGAGAATGTCCGCGTTTAGGCTAGCTATGATCTGCTGCAGGAGCACAGAGAGAAAGATCGGAGGGGAAGGGGGGCAAACAGACGCTTCATGTCCCACGCACTTTGCGCATCTCGGTGACATGATCCCCAGCAGCCAGTTCCTTTTTATAACTCTCTTTGTATTGTCCCGAAAGGCCACACTCTCGACCGCGTATAGGCGGGCGCCATGAGACTTCGTACTTTCATGCCATGAGTACATCTTGCACACAGCCAGCCAGCAGTGGCATCAGATGCGAAGGCCGTCTCTTACCAATCGCGAAGTACAGACGGAGTGATAGGTTGCTGCGAGCACCAGCTGACGCAGTCAGCACTCGAACACCGGCAACTATATCCACCGCTCGACCCACCTGCGTCAAAAAGTATGTATGTGCGGTTCTTCACCAACAAAGTGGAAACAAACAGCAGTTCCTTGAGAGGAACCCAAAATATGTCCAGTTTCCCGCGGGTTTCCCTCTACACTCACTGCTGTTGTAGATACTTCAGCACATCCCTTTCGACTAGGATTATATCTCGAACGGGTGGACTAGTCTCTCTGTGAGATTATGTTTACTTTCTATAAAAACAGCAGATAGATTCGCCTACCCGCAGCGGAATCGTTGGATTCGTACGTATATACGTACGTACGTAGAATGAAGGTACAGCAATACATCAAATGCTCATGACACGGACCAGGAAGGGTGACACACAAGCAGGCCTCGGGTGCGCAAGAGTCCTCTACTACAAGTAAGCGGTAACTGGTGCACACGTGCGTCATGATGATATCATGATGTTACCTTTCCAATCGGAACAGCCGGTCGAAGCGTGTACAAGGCTTGATTGAGCCTTTTCGTATGATTTATTGGTCGATGTTGCTTACCAACGCCTGCTGCCGTCGAGCAGCACACGCACGCATGCTGCCTTTCGAAAACTTGGTAGTACATGTTAGGCAATGTATGCGTAGTTCCAGATAGTGTTGTCATATGTCACTCTTTTGAGATTCGGCGGTGGGAAGTAATAATTGGGACGCCTTATGGGCGCACGGGGGATCGCGATTTCTCCTGTTCAAAATCCAGGAAACGCCTGCGTATCTCAGTTTTCCATGGTCTAACTCCAGTACGAAACTTCCATCACAAATTAACCGCCTGCAGCGGTCGCTTGTGTACAATGTTAGTGTCTGAGGTTGTAGCCCTTGTGATACACTGCTGACTAGCGGTCCGCGATTTTCCAAACGGTCCTTCTATTAATCGAGATCGGTGAGCTATAACCAGGAATTTCAGCTGCTTTGCGGTCCGACTTGAAACGCTTCAAGCACACAGCAACGGCTAGTCATCGCCTCTGTGAGTGTGTGGGGCCGAGAACTGCAGCGCCGCTCTTCCCTCGCATGTCCTACTCGTCTCCATAATCGACTTGAATGCGTGGGGTCATGCTTTGGTAGACCTAGCCACAAGCAAAGGCGCTTGGACGTTTCAATATCGGACCGCACAGCAGCTAAAATTCCTGGTTGTAGCTCACCGATCTCGATGACCGAAGGATCGTTTGGAAAATCGCGGACCACTAGTCTGCAGTGCATCACAAGGGCTTCAACCTCAGACACATAACATTTTACAAAGCGACCGCTGCGGACGGCTACTTTGCGGCAGTAGTTTCGTACTGGAGCTAGACTTTGGAAAACTGAGATACGCAGGCCTTTCCTGGATTTTGAAGAGGAGACACTGCGATCCCCCCCGCGCCCTTAACGACAACACCACGACCGCACGAGAGATTTTTTCAAAAGGGTGACTTGCTGCCTGAAACGATATCGCTGTTTGCGCGACCCCTGGTCTACCGCGCGCCGCGACATCCCTCTCGCCGTCCTGCAGCAGTAAAATACGCCGCCTCACCGTCGCGGACCGTGCATACCGGTTCGGTTCGCGTTGACCCTCCGTTGCAGATAATCGAGCTGCTCGAGTCGACCGCGGCGGACTCGCCTCTCATCTCCCCGGCGGCTCTCCTGGGCCGGGTGGAGGGCCTGCTGCTGCGAGGGACGGGGGCGACAAGCGTGGACGCCTTGCTCGTGGACCGCTGGTTCAACAAACTCTTGCACTTCTCACCAGCCACTGCTTCTGGGAGCGGCGACGGCGACGGGGAGGCGAAAGGGGCTCGAGCGACGCCGATCCGAGATCGCCGTTCGTTTTCTGATGGCCACGGCGGTAGTCAGTGCCAAAATAAGCTTAAACAGCAGCAGCAGCGGCAGCATGAGGTTGCGTTTAATACGAGGGCGGTGTGTGATATCGGCGAGGGAATCGCAGGCATGGCGGCGATGACCGGACGGAAGTTGCAACTCAAGGATTGCTCCACACGGCAACAACGGCGGCGAGGAAAGACCTTGTACGGCACCAAGTACACCAGCGGTAGCGTGGTGTGTTGGCCGGTCTCAGCGCTCCCTACTGAAGTGGGAGTTACGCGAGCGGAAGCAGAAACCTCCGCGTTGGAGCAGTTGGAGGACGTGGACGGAGATGACGAAACGGAGGAGGCGAGGCCATCGCCGGGCCCCGCGGAGAGGGTGCTAGCGGTGTTGCGGGTCCACTGCGTGGACGGCGTGCTCTCGGCAGCGGCGGTGGAAGCCCTGCACGGGTTAGGGAGACTGCTGGTGCCGCTGCTCACGGAGGCTCTGGCTCGTGACGAGGAGTACATGCGCCGCCGCTCCACCGAGGCGCTGCTGTCGCTGAGCAGCATCAGCCCGCGAGACGTGGGCCTGATCGCGATGGTCGAGGAGGTTGTCCATGCGGCGCAGGTGATGACGGAAGCGGAGAGGGTTCGCCTCTTCTTCGTGGACGACGCGGAGCACAAGCTGTGGGTGGCCACGTCGGTTGGATTCGAGGACCCCAAGATCAAGATCGGGGAAGGCTTGTGCGGGCACGCGGCGGCGACCGGAAGGACCGTGAACGTGATCGACAGCTGCAAGGACCCCCGCTCCGTCGGGCGGTGGGACAAGCAGACCGGCTTTGTCGCCAAGGGGTGCGTCGTGTTTTCTTTGTGCCGTGTTTTGAGGCTTTGGTGTGAACATCGGGCACGCTAACCGACTCTGACCAATGAAGGCGTTGGGCGGGTTACGAACGAACTTTTCCTCGGAATCAGTGTGGTCTCCTGAAAATGGGCGTGGGCGAGAGCGGGCCGAAGCGTTCAGCCTTGGGAGTTAAGAGTTGATCGAAAATTACAAGGCGTATTGTGAACGTCACCTCAGACTGTCTCGTAGATTGTGACGTCAGATGACCTGTCGGAAATCCTCCTTCGGCGTGTTGACACAGATATAGTCAGTGGACACGGTGAAAGCCGCCGTGAATGGAGACCTACGTCTCATAGTATGTGAAGGTTTTTTGCCTCGTGCATCTGCCTTTCCTCCGGCGGTTATGCGGTGCGAGATCTCGATCTCCTGCAGGCAGTCGATAACCTCCCAGGTTCAGGTTCACTGGCTTGTTTCGAACCGACTGGTTGAAAGCAAAATGTTCTTCTATCGTCCGTATACGTAAAATAAACGCGTTCACTTTTTCGTTGTGTCCTCTTCTTCATGCTGCTTGCGCCTTCCCCCGTGAGCAGCGTTTGACGACTAAGGAGATCCTTCAGGTGTCTACGGCCTTCGCTCATGTTTGTGCGGCCCATGTTGCTGTTGCTTGCGATGATGCCCGCAGTGTTCGGCGGTCTTTTCACCATGTCAACTTCGAATGATGGCGATAATGACAGACGCCGATCGATCTGTGACACACACGCATGAGCACCTCCGTTACCGTTTTTTTTTTCAGTGTTTTCCAGCCCGAACATTGGACGGGGGGTGGGCATCAGCGCCCGAAACCGTTTGACGAGGGGGAGAAAGCAGCCGAGATACTTAGCGTTCACACGCACACGCCCGCATCGACCCTGCTCGCTCTCTTCTCTTGGCGAAACTCACCGCCTTCCGCCCATGCTTGTTTCGTCCTCGTCCCCTCTCAGGGTATTGTGCGTGCCCATCCCACCTCCAGCCTACGCCGCCGCCTCGGGCGCTTTGCGACCAGCGGCAGGCGGCAACGGCGGCGGCCGCAGGTGGGCGGGTCAGCAAGACATGAGCGGACAAGACGGCAGCAGTAGCAGTGGCAACGCTCGCACAACTACGCCGTCGCCAAACGACGACGATGCTGAAGCCCGATCGGCGGCGTCGGTCGTCGACGACTTCCGTTTGCGGCATCGGCAGCAGCAGCAGCAACAGCAGCAACAGCCGGAGCGGAATCCATTGCCGTCGTTTCCGACGTCGTCGCGGCGTGGGTCGGCGGCGTCGGCGGCTGGAAGGGCGGCGGCGAGACCCCTGGCCGTGCTGCAGCTGAGCAACAAGCGAGGCAGGGGCGTCTTCAACGAGCACGACGAGAACGCGCTGTTGAGCCTCTGCGGCCGCATAGAGCTGCTCCTCCGAGACAAGGCGGCGGAGACCGCCCTCCTCTTGTTGGGCATGACCGAGCGCTCCCTGGTCCGCGAGAGCAACAGCCGCGGCGGCGCCGGCGGCGCCTGGTCCAACTACGCCCGCGTCCAGAGCGCCATCATGCAGCTCTACAGCGGGGCGAGGTTCCCGACCGACGCGGTCGCGAGGGGACGAGGCAGCGTCGCCCTCCGCTACCGCCGCTCCGCGAGCGACAGCCTTATCGTCGTCGACACCGATGTCGAACAGACCGGCGTGGAGCGCGACGGCACCGGCGGCGGCCATGACCGACGGAAAACCGTCGTCTTCTCCGCGGAAGATCGCGCTGCCAGCGGCGGCCACGGCGGCAGCGGCGGCGCGGGGGAGGGATTTTCGAGCTCCGGCAGCGGCGGCATCGGCGGCCGCGGCGGCGGCGACCCTGGCCGAGTACTCAGGCAGGAGGACCCTGCTGCTGCTGCTGCTGCTGCTGCTGCTGCTGCTGCTGCTGCTGCGCCGGAGGAAACCACACACGCGGATTCGGAGCTGGTGGACCTGAGCATGAACTTGTTTGACCTGAGCTCGCAGCAACTCCTGTCCTTGGTGGGGCGGTTCTTCCGAAGTATGGAGCTGACAGACAGGTTTCAGGTGTGTATTGGGTGCGTGTTTCCGGTCGTCATGGGGCTAGCCTTGTTTTTTTTGCGTGAATCCACTTCGTCCGTTCGGTCGTGACAGAGCCGATCTTCTCCCGGTGGTCCAGTCGGTATCTTGGCAGCCTTTTTGTGTGTGAGATCTAAAATCGTATGGCAGTCACACGAAATGGGATGGTGCTTGTTCTTCCGTCGTGCGCACACAAATGAAGGGCGAGTTGTTTTGGTGGGCACACACGTTATTCGGCGTCTCGACCGACCAGGGAAATGAAAAGACTGAGTCCTCGTCGCCATGAGATCAAGGAAAGCACACGAGAAGGGCGGCCGTAGAGAGGCTGAAAATCCAATCCTCTGCGTGACCCCGCCGCTACAAAGCAACGCACGGAAAGGCGTACAGTAGGACTCAAGTCTACACGCGCCGTCCCCCGCCACCTACCTTAGCCTTGATCATGGAAGCCTTGATCATGGAAGGGAGATAAGACCTTTGTGCGCGTCTGTCTACTCGTGTGCGTGAGAACATGGCACGTATCACCCCCCCCTTGAGGTAGGGCGTGCGCCGCACAGACGACCTCAGCCGGTGGGGGTCAAGTACTTTTGGCTCTGCATACGAACGAGACCAAGCGAAATACCTCACACCAAGCGACAAGAGTGGCAGAAGACTGCTGTGCGCACTCTGCAGCAAACACCACTCCGGGCGATTATTTGTTCGAGTCAAGGTGTTGTTGGTCGCTGGGGTGTGTTATCTTGCGTTGAGGTATACAGCAAGCACCACGGCGCGGCTTCTCGCCGTCTTGCTCACCCTCTCTCCGCGAAAGCATACATCCTCTTTTGAGCTTGAAAGAGAATGGGGTAAGAAGCTCAGTGAAACCACATGCACTCGTGGCCCATCAACACTTCGACGTTCTTCCGGGAAGAACGTCCCGCTTGCACCCACGTCCTCTCACCGCAGGCTGCCGACCCTGCCTCGCCGCTCCGCGCCGCGCCGCCCGTGCGCAGATTCCGGACAAGAAGATGTGGAGCTTCTTGCGCGCGGTCGAGCGGCGGCATCCGCCCAACGCCTTCCACAACCTGACCCACGCCGTCAGCGTCACCCACGCGTCCTTCACGATCGTGAAGACATCGCGGGCCGACTCGTTGCTCCGTCCGCTCGATAAGCTGGGCCTCCTCGTCGCGGCGTTCTGCCACGACATCGACCACCCAGGGTAAGCTTGGGCCCCTTCGAAAGTAAACGGACGCGTGTGTCGAGTATGTTGCAAAAACGTTGTCACATACAGCAGTTGCGTGCCCTCCGTAGTGCGGGTATGTGCCAAGTTGTTTTTGCGCGCACTAGCGCGCACCCTCGTTAATAAGCATAGGAACCATCTCGATTGATTGCGCCTGTGGCAGACGATTTCACCGACACTATGCCGGGCACAAAGTACTGAAGAACACGCACGATAAGAGGGCCCCCGACTGTACCGAGTACTTTTGCCCTATTCCTTCCCGGTACTTGTTTTGATATTTTTACCCTACAACGCAGCCAAGCCCATTTCTCAGTGCCCGTGCAGCCGAGCCTTTGTTTGGTGCGTTATAAACACATCCCCCGCCCCCCTCGGTGTTTGCCATCGGGGTTGGGTTTTCGTCGCTTGGCAACGACGTTGTAAAACAAGCCGCCCCCCCCGGTGTTTGCCATCGGGATTGGGTTTTCGTCGCTTGGCAACGACGTTGTAAAACAAGCCAATTCACTTCGTGAACTCGGCAACCAGGTTGCCGGGTTTTTTTTACCTCCGGTTTTTTTTTGGCGGTAACCATAATGGTGGTCGAGTAGATCATGTTGTGCGGGGTGAACCCTCACTCGGCGCAAGGGAGATT